GTTGACGGTGAAGACAGACCAAGTCAGACAATGAGAAGGAGCTAGAAGATTAGAAGAACTTGCCAGAGTTAAAAAAAATCAGAGCAATGCAGTCAGAAGCCAAGAGAAAACAGTTTATATCAACCAGATTGGAGAAGAATTTTGAGCCAGGACAGCTGAACTGAACCAGCTAGGCAGAGACAGAAAGAAGTAGAAAGTGTAAGCTTATTCAGGAGTAAGCATCCAGGATAGCAATTATCTCAGACAAATAAAAGATACTTTTAGGATATGTGTGTGTTCTTGCTTCTCCCACTTCCCTCGGAGCTATGCTGAATGGTACATAACTAGCAAAATATTTTCTAAATAGTAAGGCTTATTTATTTATTTATTTATTTATTTACTTTTAATATGTATGCCTCAGGGATTTCATCATCACCAGGTATGAACTACAAATCAAATCTTTCAGACAGGTTAGTAACCATGGACACATACCCAGATATGCATGATAAATAAAGACAGTGAATATTGGGTACTTGGGAAAACTGTCCATTTATTTTATATTCTTGAAGTAAATGTAAAAGATAACTGACTATTTTTAACAAAATCCTAATCCCTTGAAAGGACCATAGCATGATGTGGTCCTTTTTGTGTGGTCTTGTGTATAGAACAGAGAGGATTTTTGTTATTAAATCATTTCTTGAATATTGTTGATCAGAAACCATAGGATGAAAATTAATTCAGACTTTTATGAACATTTATCATTAAGAGAATAATGATAATTGCAGAACTGTTGTGTGGAGTTCATTGACATAATGGAAATGTATAGATCTATTGCATTGTTCAGCCACTATCTATCATAGAATATCTATAATGGCATTATTAAGCCAAACAAACTTTATAGATAGATTGTAGAATAATCATAAACAGCATAATTACCTATCTCTATCAAACTGAAACAATAGAGTATGAGAAATACTAGACTGTAAAAGATGATTCTGAAATTATTATTACAAATATATGTTATTTGTATCAAATCAAAAGTGTCCAGAGAAATAGATTAAATATAGGAACGAAGGTTTCCTTTGAATATTTCCATGTCAATGTTTACAGAAATAACTGGAAACTGTACAAAGGTTCTGAAATTATTGGTTGATCTACCTGTATATTTTCAGAACCAAGTAATGTCTACCACTCCAAGGGGAATTTCAAGGAAAAGCAAAATAGTAGTTTTTAACTGTATACAAATGATAAAAGCAAAGACCTCAAAGTGGGTAGCCTTTCAACTCATGCTCAATTAGAATAAGAATTTGGTTGATGTTTTAAACAATTATGACTAACTAACTGTGACAGGCTCTCAGCTTTGCAAAGGGGATGATTTTCAGTTGACTTTTGATCTGACTGACAGTTTCTTATACACTTCAGTGTTAGTTTATAACACATGAGCCCATATCTGAATACACATGTGATTAATTAAAGACTGTTTATGGACCATCCACACAAATTTAACACACAAGAGTGAAGGCATTTTTAATGGGAGGACATGATTTTAATGAAATAGAGTTAATTAATAAAGGTGCTTGACCTTTTTCAGTGTTGTTAAATTGTTTAATGAATAAAATAGAAAGTGGGCTTCACATGTATATGTGCAAGTTAGGTTATCTTAAAAGTTAATCTTATGATAATTAAACAAAAATTACCAATATATCTTTAAAACCAGTTGCATTATAAACTAATATTGCAGACTGGATGCTAAACCTTCATTACTAAAAATTTTGTGTCAGAGACTTCTCAAGAGACATCCAGTTCAATCTTTTGCACGTTAGACTATATCTTACTATTCAGATGTAAGTTCTAGCTACATCACATACTGTCTAGGAATTTTGACATTACTTGTATTAGTCACTTGTTTTGGGATTTTTTTGTTTTGTTTTTATTTTTTAAACTTGACAAAAGCAAGCAAGGAAAGATTTTTCCTTGGTTTACAATCCAAGCAGGTGTGGTCTATTATGGTTGAAGAAGTATGCTGGTGTAGCGGGATATCCCCCCCCCCACATTTTACAGTAAATTCAGTAAATTGGGAGGAGTCAATGTTCAAGGAGTAAAGAGAAGGAAGAGAAGCAAGGAGAGGAGACATACAGCAGCCATGGAGAACTACGGATGCATCAAGGACATTCTTAGGTAACAAATTTTATCTTAAGGTTAGATATTGGAAAACAACTCTAATTGTGTGAGCATCTTGTTAATTGAGCATTTCTAAATATATAAAGCCTTTGGTTAATAATTAAGCTTTAGAATCTCATTTCTACTGGGTACCTTGTGGTTGGCTAGATGGTCTGGGCTTAGCCAAGCAGTGTGGAGACCGAGTGGTATGTTGTCAGAGCCATCTCTCATGCTGGCATCTCATGGGTACCAGGGCCAGTGTTTCTGACTGGCCAATTCTAGCTGTGGAGTACTTGGCTTTAGGCCACTGCACATGGCAGCCTAAGCTAAGCAGAGCTGCCACCACATGGCCTGACCAGTGGCATCGATTTACATATTTCCAGTAACAAGTAGTGCACCAATGTGTAGCACGAATTCACTCGAAATTTAAGTATATTTCACCTGAGAGTAAAAGTTGTATTTTTTTTTTTTAAAGAAAGTGAGTGAGTAAGCGCTGAGACAAGTCACTTGATTCCTAGTACAGGAACCTTAAACAAAGAAACTGAAGGCTGAGGTCCCCTGCTGTGGGGAAATGCAGGTTGCTTTTTGTTTTTTTTATAGTTATGCAAATTTTATTGAAATCTACTGTAAATAAAGATTTTCTCAGTGGTCTACAAAATGAACTTGAATGTCATTCAGCAGTTATTGATCAGGAGTGGCATCCCTTCCACTTATTGCACACACTGGTAGCTTTGAGACATAACAGTACCACAGTCCATTTGAATGTGTATGTTGCTTCCATGGCGTAGCCTTGGAATTCCTGCATGCTCCCCAGGACGAAAGGCTAGCTTCTTATCATCAGAAGACCTGACCACAATAGGTATACTGCTGGGAAAGAATCTGAAGAGAAGTCATAACTTATTAACCACTGGCGTGGATGGCTCTGGTGCACTCTTAAAAAGGTAGCCAGTGATACCAAGGACAGGGAAGACTTGCATGGTTGTTCAATAGTTCTATAGGTGTTCATTCTCCTCCCTGTGGCCCCACCAATGCCCCACAATGCCTGAACTTACTCATCCCCCTCTGAATGGACTGACTCAAACTTTAAAGATGCCCCCTGACAACAGGGGGTGATAGGAAGCTCCCCCAAAGTGTAACTGATAAGAATGTGATGATGTCTGTTTGAAAAACAAACTTCATCGGCATAGTACAAGCTGCAGCCTGCTTCTAACAGTACAGCGATGAACAGGCTCACACTTCGGTATAGATCCGAGCTGCCCTTGGATCCGTGGATGGTGGAGAAAAGGATCAGCAGTGTTTAGGCTGCTGGCTGCAAGCGGTAGAGGTAGAAAGGTAGATGTGGGGTGGGAATGGGTCAGACCCCTCTGCCTCAGACAACTCCAGGCAGATCTTTTGATATTCTGTTCCCTTCCTATACCTACAGAATGAGTCACTGCACCCAGGTCTAACACACATCCAGGCCACCCTTAGCAGCCTCTGCCTATGATCAGTCCATCCTTGACTACCTTCCTGTGTAACCTCAGACTGTTTCTTAACATCTGCCTCCCCCGACCCCATATTGGTATAAACTGCTAAAAAGTATTCCCTACAACTCCTCCCTTCAGTTCTAGAAAATGGATTAGTTCCACATGCTTTTTAAAGCTGTCTCCAGAGTAGCCTGAAGCTCTCTGCTGCCAGGGCTAGCTGGCCACTTATTTATCACCAAGGGTGCCAGAATAGTCAGGTTTAATCATAATGGTTTAGGATGATTATTATGGTGGTGGGACTAACATCTGAGCAAGTTTATAGACATAAAAATAATCTGGAGACATGCTGCTGGCTCCCTTACCTGTGAGAACCAGGCCCTCAACTTGAACTCCTAATGACTGCTGTAAATGCTATGTGCATACTAGAAATTACCTTCTATGGCACATAGTGTCTTGGGAGCTGGGTCAGGGAGCTCTGTCTACAAAGCCCTAAGGATCAAAGTGAAATCCAATACCCACTGGAAAAGAAAGGAAGCTCACTTGTGAAAAGGTGGGGGAAAAAGCCACCCCTATCCCCAACCCCCATTCCAGTGCAGAAAATATTAAATACAAAAACAAAACCTTGCCTTCTGGGTTTCAGACTTCAAGTAGCCACCACAAGCTCTGGTGTTTCCAGAGGACCAGGGCAGTTTCTGCAAAGCCTGTGCTGAAGGGATGTATTGGGCATGCTCAAAACCAAAGGGCAAGAGACTGCTCTGCTAAGCTGCCTGGCAACCCTCGGGACTCAAGAGGTCTTGTCCTTCACAGGCTTCCAAGCAAGTGCAACAGCTTCCTTGCAGTAACTCTGCCATCTACACACACTGCTATTTAACAAGGCTGAAGCTAAAGAAGGGGAGGGGATGGTTTTCTCCATTACTTAGCAAGTTGAAATTACCCCAGCATCCCAGCTTCTTAACCTTTCACCTCCTTTCCATACGCATAGCTAAGACCTCAGTGCACCCTACCAAGGGCAACTGGGGCAAGACCAGTTGAAGACCTTCCATGGTCATACCTCAGTGCACATGAGTAGAATCATTATCAAGCCAGTCCATCTGATATTTTTAAAATTTGGCAAAAAGGCTTAAGCATGTGCTTCTGGGCCTATTTACAGTTCACAGGTTGGTTAGTTCACGCATTACAGTAATAGCTCCATCAAAAACAGGCTCAGCTAAAACATTCAAGTAACGAAAGCACTAAGGGGCCATGAGCCTCAGCAAGGTCAGGCCTGCCCACTGCCTGCAATGGACAGTCCACCAGGAGGCTGAGGGGGAAGGCCAGAAGAGCTGGGACCTGGAGTCAGTGCATGCGATGACAAAGCCTGAGGAGACCATGCCAGCAAGTGTCAACCCCTCTCACATAGCAACATGTCTGCTTCTGCCCTCTCAGTGCTTCTGGGCCGGCTGCAAACAGAACCATGCCCTTCGCAGCCCAGCTCAGCCATGCACTTCTGGGCTGTTGGCAGTCATCAACTTGGCCTTTCTTTCCACACATGGCCCCTTGGCAGAGTACTGCACCAGTAGAAAGGGCTCCTTTGTCTCGTCATCACCAACGAGGCTCTCTTCATCCTCTGGTTGACTGATGCACTGCAGCCGCAGGTAGCACCAGCAGCCCAGGATCAAGGCTCCCAGTGCAGCTATGGCGATGAGGATGACAATGACCGTGACCACCCCGATCGTGGGGCTGTGGTCCATAATAGACATGGTCAGTGCTTGGAGGGGTTTCTTTGGTGGAAAGCTCTTGGTGTGCCTGGCTCAACGAGACTGGAATTCGGGCTACACAGGGTAGTCCGTGTCGAGGCCCACAGTCCGGTGCAATTAGCCAGCAGCAGCCCCACCGCCGGGGCTCCGCCTGTGCACCAGCCGGGTCGGGCCACCAAGCCCTTGCCAGACGCCAGAGCTGCAAGTTGCTTTTTGTAAGGAAAAGAAGGAAGTAGCTTACTTTTAGGGCAGAGAGATTTGAACTGTGAAGTAAAATTGAGATTATTTGCTTTTAAGATGGATTTAGAAATAATTTTGTCTGATTCACATGGGGAATCTCGCCTGCTGTTCAGAACATAGATAGGTAGGGAAAATTTGTCTGTGGCTCTAAGCAGAGAGTTATACACAGACATGCATACATTATTAGCTGCTCTGAGACAAGAGAGCCAAATAAATAAGCCTCTGTTGTAGAACAGTCACTGATTTAAGTGTAAAGTTACAATATAGAGATTATTTGCTTTTAGAAAGGATTTATAAACAGATTTGTCCAAATCACTTGGGGAATTTTGCCCATGGTTTTGAAACTTAGATAGGGAAAATTGTCACTGACTCTAGAGTAGAAAATACAGTGTATAACTAGAGGCTCTCTAGATAGAGAGCCAAACAGATAGATGATATAAATAAAAAGCTGTTCTAGGTAGACAGCTGAAAAGAAAGATAGTGTAAATCAGGTGTATTCAGATGATTCAGATGATTCTCCTCACAGAAGAGTCAGGTTCTGTCTAACATGGGCCCCATGGGAATTCTGGGTTTATTTCCTGCTGGGCAATATAGGAAAGGCCTAAGAATAGGCACATACAGTACTTTAGTTACTTCTTTTGTTTCAGAGTCATTTAATTTTCAAAATGGGTGTGATTTTCAGTTTTATGGTTACATTTTTTTCTCTGGAAATGAGGTCGAGTAAGTTTTTTCTGGTTATTGGCTCAAGGAGACTCTGTCTTGGGAAAAAGGTTTTTGACTGTGTATTTTCAGAAGAGATGACTAAGGTATTTCTATCTCCCAGAATTATATGGATCAGACATGACAGAGGCAGGCTGCCAGAAGACTAGATTCCAGGGATTCAAACAAAAAAGTATCTTGATATTAAAATTTGTTTTGAGAATTGCATATTGCAGAATACACAGCCTTGGTGTATCTACTCCTCAAGCAAGCTAAGCAGACCTGCTCCAACCTCTGATATCTTGGAATTCTAGATGGATGCAGTGAAGACACAGACATCAGAGGCTTAGCAATTTACCCCTTCCCCTGGCCCTCTTCTAATATCTCTACTCCTGTATTCAGTTTGAAAAAGTTAATGGAGAGTTGGCACCCCAATTCCCTGGGGTTAGGGACTGAGGTGGTTAATATTGGGCTGTCTTTCTAAGGAAAAGTAATGTTTTTATTGGAACAGGGAGGAATAGCTAGAATTGATTACATAGCTATAACCTATTGGTAGAAATCTGTATAATTGTTACTAAGCTGAAGTTATAATTTCTTAGTTGGTACACAATTTATTTTGATTTCAAATTCATGGGCTTTATTGGTATATTTTTTCTATTAATTCAAAATTGGTGGGTACAGGGCTTAAGCCCAGACCTTCTTTAAATTTTTTTAAACTGATCTGAGATGGTTAGCCTGTGAATTTAGGGCCAATAACAATTGCATGGCTCTGGGAGTTTATTGTTAGGGTGTTTCTAGATTTTAATTGAAAGTAGCTGAGAGGATTTAACAGACAATAGTCCAGATTGTTTTACAAAGATAGTTGGTTTTCAAAAACATCAGAAGTCCACAGAATTTACATTACAAAAATTTCTGTATTAAGGTTCATTTGATTAGAGACCTGACAACTCTTGTCTACTCCTGACAGCTTCCCTGTCTTGGATTCTAAGAAGAAATTGAGCGTCTTTGGAGTTACTCCAGTTGTGATGAGATAGCCAATAGGCAAGAAATGCCTCTTTTCATCTACAGACAATATTGTCCAGGAATAGGACACTCTTTGAGGAATAGTCAACTGATAATCTTTGCCTAGACAGGGAAATCAGTGTGTGTGTGTGTGTGTGTGTGTGTGTGTGCTTCCTAGAAATATACCCAGATATTTGTCCTGTGACAATTCTAAACCCTGTCAAATTGATAATCAAGTTTAAATATGCCTATGTCTACCGGGAGCATTTCCCTTAAGTGGTCATGGTACTAGAAGGTACTTTTCATATTATCAAAGGAGAATAGTAAACACAAGCCTGGCTACAAACACTTTGATCTACAATGAGGACCTGCCTACAAGATGCACTAGGACAATAATGGCACAAAGCCTGTGGTAGGAAACAACCAATGTATGTTTGGAATCCATACATGGTACTGGTCAGATTGCCAAGGATCCAAGAGTAGATAGACTAGGGACCAAGGGGAAACAGTATATACTTTGCTAAAGGAATGTAGCAATAAAATAATTTCAATGGCATTATACTGAGCTCATAGTTATATGTCTGTCTCTCCTACCATTAGAGAAGGTTGCTCTTACAGTAAATGGGAACAATCCAAAACCCACAGATAGACAATCTGCAGAGAATGAGACACCTTTGAACAGTCTGTTCTAAACGGGTGTCTCCATTAAATTCCTTCCATGAGAGCTCACAGAATCCCAAAGAAGAGGAAATAAACCATTATTAAGAGCCAGAAATGATGAACGATCCAAAGGAAACAAGGCCCCTAAACAGAACAGAACAGATTCATATATGAATTCACACTGACTATGGCAGCATACATGCCTACAAAGGCCTACACCAGATATGCTTCCAACACTGAGAGAAGAAATGGAATCAAGCCTCCATCCCTAATTCAGAATCTATCCCCAACAGATAACAGCTTACAAATGAAAATTTAGTTTTCTCCAGTAGAGTCACACTGGGGATACAAACCATTCTTAAGGTACAGGCTCCATGTCTAGCAGTAGATGAGCCAAGACAAAATGAACTCCAAGGCATCATTGGAGGTTCTTTGTTTCATGTTTTATCAGGACATTTTTCTAACCTTACAGGCTTTTTACACATGGGTCATCCATTTTTGTATTTTTCTGTGATTTGTGTGTGTGCAAATGTTTATTTCTGCTTTTATAATGTTTCCTGTGGTTTTTTTTGTTTGTTTGTTTGTTTGGGTTTCTTTGGTTTCATCTTACTGAAATTTGTTTGTATTATCTCATCTTATCTTATTACTTTTAGATGACAGCATGTATTCTAAGGAGAAACAGAAATGTTGTGGATTAGAGTAGAGGAATGTCTGAGGAACTTGAGAACAGGAAATCACAATCAGAATACATTGTATGAAAAAATCTATTTTAAAAGAAAAAATAGGAAAAAAGAACAGGAAGTTGAATCACAGTTTGTACCAGAAGATGCTCTGATTATATTTTAAACTTATGCTTCCAGAATATATGTTTCCTAATCAATGTTCAATATGTCATTTACTTTTGTATTATAAAAGATTTCATATGAAAAACTAAAAATAAAAGCAAAAAACCATACCCATACTACGACATCCTCTTATTTGACTTGAATGTCATACCAAAAAATGATCATTGTATGTTGCTAAAGCATATAGAATACTTTGAAATAGAGAACAATTGAGAAATGCTCACAAGTTGCTATTTATTATCATTTAAGAAAGCCACTTGAGCCAGGCAGTGGTGGCACATGCCTTTAAACCTAGCACTTGAGAGGAAAAGGTAGGAGGATTTTGAGTTCGAGGCCAGCCTGGTCTACAGAGTGAGTTCCAGGACTGTGTCAGGGCTATACAGAGAAACCCTGCCTTGAAAAAAAAAAAGAAAAAAGAAAAAAAAAACAAACAAAAAAAGAAAGAAAGAAAACTGCTTCTTCTTTTGCTCAGCTCTTTGATATTAAAGAGACTGGTCCTATGTCAGCTGTGTAGCTGGTAAATAATATTTCTCATTCTGTAGGCTGGTTTATCATTTGGATGCTCATGTTTTTTACTGTTCTTCCAAGCTTTCTAGTGTCATATTGTCTCATTTGTAAATTATTGTGTTTTCATTTTCCAACGCTGATGCACACATATAGACAGCAGTAAGTAGACTATGTATATTAGAGAAAAACACATGAAGTTGTAAAGAAAGTAGAGTTGATAAAAAAATAACTTAAGACGAGAAAATGGGCACTGGACTTTATAAAAACAAATTATATCTGTGCATGGAATTCTTAATTAAAAACAAAGAAAATAATGAAAGTCATTATTGCAGGATGTGAAATGTTTTTAATTTAACTCTTGAGATTTTAAGTAGCAATTCTCTATGAGAAATGTTAGCAAAAAATTTAGAACTCACATCTATTTGTGAGATTCAATAAATTTAGAAATGTCATGTCTCAAGTCCCTGCATCCAATTGTTTCAAAGAGAGAAACTTCTGTTTTTGAGTGTGAATTTACTGAAGAACAAGACTTCCTGTTTATTTATAATAGTATAACTTAAATACCACCTTGGAAAGACTACTAGCAATTATTCACCTTCTTAAATATATCGGGAAAAACAATATTTCAATAAAAATCCCAATAGATTTTTTTAGAATAGTGATGGCTTGTGCTTTTAAAAATCCATCTACTCTGAGCTCTGGATTTGTGAGTCTATTTCATAATGGTGTACAATTCATATTGTGTCATGTAATGAGTATACTCTCCTACTGTAACCCTGGGGTCTGTCCACATTATAACTTCTTTTTGGGCCATTACATCTTAGCCATCAACTGGTACATAACAGTTTCCACTAAAGATCCTATAGTTTCACTTTAAGTATCCATGTTCTGTTTTTCTGCCTTGTCTCTCAAGGCTGCTTTGACGATACTGGAGCTCATTCACCAAGACTTGCACAGTGTAGCACTTACATAGATAGAAAACACTTTTAAGTTGACCATTCACCAGGAACATGCCAGCTTGTGTCCTTCAGAAATATCTTTTTCATTCAT